AGCTACTGCAGAAAGTCGACCATGTGCTCAGCAGCTCACTGCATTACCATTGCCTCTTCAGAGCGCCTCAGTTGAGCAACTGGACTCTTATCTTTAAGCAGACAAACAGGCAGATACACATGCACAAACACACACACATGTATACACACACTCCTACTCAGACACACACAGAAAACGCATGCAGCCACACGTAACACCCACTGATTGGAGACGTGACACACTTCCCCTGTGCTCCAGTGGGCCCTCACTTTGTAGCTATAGTTTACAAAGCCCTGATGATGTTATTTCTCCCTCATCTCCCCCACCCAGTCCCAGCCTCTCTCCCCTGTCTAAAAACACACAAGCACATATGTACTCACATACACTCACATACAAACATACACAATCAGACCCTATTGAAAAGCCTTCCTGTGTTGCTTGTTAGTGTGGAGTGATTTTTCCATAAGACGTTTGGACAAACCCACAGCCCCCTACCGTGACAAACCCCTTCTCAAACCCAGCCAAGAAACCTAGAAACACTTGATACACGAAAGTCCATATATGCTAACTCTACACTGTGTAACTGAATGGAAACGTGTGGCAAAAGTCAATTAAGTTCATACAAGTTCTTACTTTTTTTAAACGCAGGTCAATGAGTACATGCTAGACCTGCAGGGCTGCTTTGTACTGCCCTTCTGAATCAGACTGGACATCTACAGCTCGGCAAGTCGCAGCACGCTCCACAGACCAACTGACTCCACTCATTCTTCTCTTTTCACTCTCTCAGAAGGAGGAAAACATCACTGAGTTGTTAACTCTGAGCAGAATAAAGCAAAAGCTCAACAGAAATGCTAGTAAACAGAGAGAGTTTTAAGGTAGCAATCATGACATTAAAAGCAAGTGCTTTTGGACTGATTTGCTCTAGTTCCTTTTGGGAGTATCTCTTTTTCCGTCTTTTTTAGTCGTATGCCTTGTGTTTGTTACAGTAACCTTCCACTAACCTTCCACTTTAAACAAAACCTTGTTTTCCAACTCCATCAAAGTGCTTCCAGATTTCAGTAGTTTGGGAGAGCACTGCGCCATTTCAGAGACGAGAGCAAAACAAGATCACCCCGCCCATAGCCTGTAGGGTCAGCCTGCATCTAAAGAGGCCAGTAAAATGGTGGTCAACCTGTTGACCGAGTTTTTTAGCAACAAAACAGGTTGCAAAACTTTTGTTTTGGCTTGACGCACCATTAATCATTCAAGGGTTAATGTCAGGGCATGGAGTTAAGCTGGAGTGTAAATAGACCCTTTTTAGATGCAAATTATCTTTAATGATTTTGGAAATCTGATGGGGGTGTTTTGGGGCAGAAACTACACAATGCTATAAAAAACTGCTGAATCATCTAGGAAATAAATTTCACGTCACATCACTAATGATAATAAGTAGGGATTGATCCAATACTCAGTATCAGTATCGGCCCAACACTGGCCAAAATCACTGGCATGGATAGCAGAAGAAAAAACAAAGTGTAAACCAAAATGATCCACTAGCCTAAACCAGAGGTGTCCAATCTTATCCTCAAATGGCTGCAGGTTTTCACTCCAAACAAGCTGAAACACACCTTATTCTCCTTGTTTAATCAATTGGTCTTAGTCTTCAAACATTTCATCAGGTGATTTCCTGCTTTGTTGGAATGAAAACCTGCAGCCACACTGGCCCTGCGGATAAGATTGGACACCCCTGGCCTAAACTATCTTAGAAATGCTTAACTAAACTTTAAGTGAGATGTGTCACAACTAGGGCTGTCAACAAATACTATTTGATTACATAATCTAACTGTAAAAAAAAAAACAGACATTAGATTGTAAAAATGAATATTCCATTGTGCAAAAAAACAGCACTATCGCAGCTGTCTGCCTCGCAAGTTCTCATGTGAGCCTGGGTCGCTGCACTGAATGCACTGTATGACGGACAGGAGTCACACAACATCACTTTCATGATTCAAAATGAAATGTAGGTCAAGCTGAAACGAGCAAATAATTCAACACCAAACGTGTGGTAATATGTTCACATCATGACTCGGCTGCAGAGAGAGTGCCCTGCACTCCGAACAGTCTAAAAACCCCGTTTGGAAATACTTCAGAGCAGTGCTTAAACGTCAGTAGACGGAAAAACTGCAAAACGTCGATATAAAGTTGTATGCAAGCTAGATAAGCTACAGTTAGCCTTCCATTCAAGCACTAGCAGGGGCACATGTCGAAAATATACACCCACATGCATTCGATTCAGTTCCTCCTTATGTTCACGTTCACCCTGATAAACCATGGTCGCGGGGGCGCACATCCACACAGCACTGAAACAATGGAAAACGAAATGGCTGAGAAAGTCTTTTGCCTCAATTTATTAATCTAATCAGTGGCAAAGCGCTGAACCTTTGAACCTTTTTTTTTTACTTTCCATAGTTGCAGTGTTGTTTGGTGCTGAATGCTTCTCAGTGATTAAGCTTGATGCTATTAATATGGCTAGGTTTGGCAAGTGCATCCAGATAAATATATGATTTACAGCTTATTGTTTAAGAGTGGGAAAAGGACTGTATCAGATTGGTATCGGTATCGGCAGATATTCAAGGTTGCAGTATTGGTATCAGTATTGGTATCGGACAAAGTTGTGTCGAGCCACCCCTAATAAAAATGAACAAACAGAGGATTTTTGTACCAAATGAAATCGGAAAGTACAGACACGTTTTGACACTGCTGAGCATGCAGAGGAAGGCTGTGTGCCAAAAAGCATTAGTGTATTTTCTATGAGACTAAAAACTATTCAGCAAATTATACTCGTGTTCTCTGATTTCGTTCTACATGTCAACATGTCGTTCTACATGACTATAAAATATATATAAGGTAAAATAGTAAAACGATCAGCCATAACAAAGTTAAAATAAATTTCGAAACAGTACGGAAATGCAATGAGCATTTTGGCATTCAAACATGTCAAAGAAAGGGAGAACTCATGAATAAACGACCAAACAGTGGCATGCTGTTACATGACATGACAGCTTAAAATGTCATGTTGACAGCTATTTCATGCCTTTCTGTTCACTGGCATCTGTGAAAGCAGAGGAAACAAGTTGAGAAATGAGAATTAAGCAATGATGTCCCTTTGTTGTGATCCAAATGATGTTTTTAGCCTGCCAAAGACCACACCTCTCACCCTTTTCTGGCAGTTATACGCTGAAAATTTCATTGTTAATGGCAGGTAAGAGTCAACAGGGGAGAGGAAAGAGAGGAAGAGCGAGCGACGGAAAAACAGAAACTTTCAACAGGCTCATCCATTCTCCACAGGGACAGAGATATTAATCCAAACTTATTATCTGTTTCTCATTAACAGGGCCATATTGTCTTGTATTTCCTTGCATATGATTTTACTTCTAAGATCCACTTATTACATTTGTGTGTATTTATGTACCAAAAACAGTAATGCATTTTTACATGATGATGTGAATTAAGCTGAATTGTTTTTGCACTGCACCTTTAAAACTAATCTGTGTTAAAGTATGATTGGCTGCCCTGTGATATTTCTTATTCAAAAAGCAGCCCCAGGCTGAAACGCTCCTTATAACTTCAACATAAATGGGTGGAGATAAACTGCTATAGGCTGAAAAAGATGCATTTATAAAACTTACTTGAAACAGCAAAGAAGAACTAATGAATGCAGAAGTGGAATTAGAATTAGACTGGTTAATCAGTACAGAGAGAGATAGACACAGAAGTGCACAGAAGAACAGAAGAGAGGACTCTGATAGACTGGTGTGGTCAGCATTTTGAACCACAGATACAGCAGCCCTGCAAAGATAACTTTCTGAAGAGTGCAGACAAAATACCTTCAAAAAGTGAGGAAAGCAGGTATATCTATAGTTTGTCTCCAACTATCTCCCTGGACAACAATGTGAAAGTTTGATGTTTGATATATATATATATATATATATATTACAGAGACTTACAGCACTTTAATTGTTCATCAAACATCAACTTTCACACACACACACACACACATATATGTATATACCCGCACCCTATTTAATTTATAAATAGGGTACTTAATCATATATATATATATATATATATATATATATATATATTTTAATAGGGTGTGACTGTGTGCTTTTAATTTATAAATGGGGCCTGATTAAGTACATGTGTGCTTGGCTTTTTTTTTGTTGCTTTTTTTTTGACTCTTTTTTTTGGAACTAGTGTGCAGATTTGGCCCTAGGGAAAAAAGAGGCTGTTGTTTGGTCACGCTGTAAAGAATTATGAAATGCTTTCACCTCCACTAAGTGCCTACCATAACAGGCAGCTCTGAGTGCACTACTCTTTCACTTCTCTCTGAGGACAGCTAAATCTGCTTTCGCCCCTGAGGCGCTCCCAGCTCATTCAGGAGCCAAGACGGACATTTCTCACTGATGCTCTTTGTCCAGGGCTAACCCGCCTAGCATCTCAGAACTGTGGAGAGTAAAGGAGCGGTGACATAGGCAGAACAGGGTTTCTGGGATTAGCAGGACAGCCTGGTTGAACAAGCTGGACAAGCATCAGTCATTTACTGCAGTTTCATTAGATTGTAGGCCAATTATTGTTCTGGTAGACAGTTGCATTTGCATGTGTTTGTGCATGTTTGTTTTTGTATATTGTTTCTGAATGACTTTTCTGATCTGGGCATCTGGGCAGCATTTAAAGACATTTGTTATTCATTATTGCATTATTAGCCTTTTAATGCTGATATTGCAGAAAGCTGCAATATGCAATAAGCCCTCCAGCCAATCACAATGTTCTTTGTATGCAAATACAGTAACATATGTCGAAGGAATGAACAAAGCTAAATTATTTTAGACCAAAATATGCAAGTCGTTCTTTAGGCATGTCACAATTTCAATTCACCGATGCAGTTTTTAATATATACTGAAAGGCATATTCTAAATACAAGTGTTTTGCCTATATAGCTCAACTTTATTGTGTTTATATGTGTGTGTGTGTATTGGTACCTATAGATGACTCCATGTTGGTGCAGGAACATGAGGGCAGATGTGACTTCAGCAGCATAGAAACGTGAACGAGCTTCATCAAACTTTCGGGAGCGCTGGATCTGAAACATCAGATCTCCACCATTCACATATTCCATAACAAAGAATAATCGGTCCTGGAGAAACAGAGAGAGAGAGAGAGAATTTGAGGGGGACCCAATGTGCTAAGTCTTTTGTGGCAGTTTCAGGTGCAAATTGTACACATTGTGCCTACACGTTCTGCACGGCCCATTAGTCTAAACATGGAATTAATAAGCCAAGAGCATGGTAAAATGCAAAATAAATATATAATGCATATGCTTTTGAGGGAGTATGCAAAAGTGTGTGTCTTCCTGGTTAAATTACATGTCTAAGTGAAAATAAATACTATCTCTAATGTGTCTATTCTCTATTCTAACTCTATAGAGAACATACTTCAGCACATTTTAACACACAATTACTGTTAATTTGCTGAATTTTAATATGCTGTACAAACAGAGTATAGCCTGTGCAAAAGTTTTGGTACATATTTAATACATATATTAGGGATGTATTGAAACCGAGACCAAAACCGCGGTACAAATGCCTGCGATAGAAAAAGACAGAACCATGATACATCAAACTTTTTCATATGATTGCTGGTTTACCTAATAAATCAGCAACTCAGTGTAAACTCTTCTCATCATAGTATGTGTCACCTGTCTTAATGCCGCAGTACTTTTCCTAATTAACAAAAAAAGAAAAAAATTCCTAAAAATAGTGCGAGCACAAATGTAAGATAACAATGCGCATTCACCAGCGCAGCGGGATAAGTCCTCTTTAATCCAGGCTGATGAAGCGCTGTAGCGCCAGGGGAATAAGAAAGGAAAGGTCAGTCTTCCTGCATTCCTGTTGTGTGATGTGGGAAATGGGAGGGAGCATGGACAGATATCCACTTAACTGTTCCTCATCATGTGCCATTGTTTTCTCTCCCCACAGAGTTAAGGATAAGGAAGCTAAGACACATATTTTATAATGTCTTTACAATGAAACAATGCCATGTCTCTGATGATAAGGAAGAGGCTCCAGTTTAGCTTTACAGGCCTACTGAGCTCAGTCCTGAAATATCTCTCTCACTACGAACTACATACACCCACACATGTGCACGCTCTGTAGGAAGTCAAGGTCAAAGGACAGGGGCGATGCTCTGTTACTATCAGGAAACGGAACTTTCTCCAAGGATGTGTGGGGAAAGGCAATAACACTTTTTATGACAGTCTCTATAAAAAGGTTAATGTCAGTCTACTGTGCACAGCATGACTAAATACTGTTAAAGTGGTACTGCTAAGGAAGCAGTGGAGGAAATGTTGTATTCTATGTTAATACACATCCTGGGTGTTTTGAATGAAGGCAAGGAAGAAATCTTAATGAATTTAGTCGTTTAGGTCAGAAGAGTGTACAAATGTTAACAGATAAATACAATAAACAGAGGAAGAGAAATGAAGCTGGATTTAAATGGTGAGACTGCACACATGAGAAATTAGAATTCATATTAACATGTTCTACACCTTCTAACTGACCCAAATATCTTTGAATTGTTTCCTCTGACAGACAGCGCTCTCACATGAGTGCATGACTGCATAACAAATTCAGTTTGTCTTTATTCGGAAGAAAGATTTAAACAGGATGTTAAAATAATTTGCTTAAATGCACCAAGAAATCTGGAGGAGGCCCACCCAATCAAACATGAACAAACAGTGCCTGCTCCTAATTAGAAATGTACAAATAGTGCCTTCCGGTTGGGATGAGGCGCAGCAGAATGGCTCTGATTGGCAGATAGCAGCCCAGAGACTGCACATTGTCTGCTCTCTGTGATAGAATGATTTACAATACTGAAACAATAAAGAAACAGCCCATATTAACTACTTAGATTCATATGACATAGCAAGAACATCAGTAGATCAACAGAACATACTTCTTGTATTACAAACCAAGAAAACAAGTACCAAGAAGGCATGCATGGAGCACGTACCCCTGAGCAGAAAAGGGAAATGCAGAGCTAACACATATTTCATTTAAGAAACTTAATGCGTGTGCATGTGTTTGGACAATACTGTGTGCTGGAACAGATGGGTGGTGTAAGGAAATGTCTGTTTAGTCTATGCTGTGCTTATATAACATGTTATGAAAAGCATTTTCAATGGCTCCTGTTTTGCAGGTGGAAGAGGTTTTTGATGGATCAGTTACTGCACTGGGAATACTTACATAGACAATCATATGCAAAGCATGAACCCCTTGGTCAAATGACATGTTTTGTTCACAGTCAGCTTAAATAATTGTGCTAGCTCAAGTTATTAAGGGGAGACAAGCTAGCGAGGCACAAATTTACGCGGGGTAAAATATAACATGGATATTTATGTAGTTTAACCCCTTACCAAGCCATGGGCCCGCCAGCAGGCCCAAAGTTTTATTACACACTTCTCTAACCTAAGAAAAGCTCAATTAGTTTGCACTGAAGTCCCTGTAGTTACTGAATAATAAGCCTTAGTATGTAATTAGCCTGGAATGTTAAAGGGGTTAACAGGTTCAAGTAGAAGCTGCTTTTAGTTGCGTTTTCATATTCTCTTGAAAAAGTTATCTGCTAATTTTGACAGCAATCACACAGATATTTGTTGGATTCACCATGAAGATTGTTTTTGTACGATAGAAGTATTTTTTTTCATCATATGCATTTTTCGACCACTGAACTGTGTGCATACATCACAGAATTCACTCACTCTCTTGGTAGCAGTATGATACCACCATTATGAAGCAGCTTTGTTGTTAGATTCTAGGATAAGTTGCCAACAGCAGCCAAAAAGGAAGTATGAATTTTTAATATCATTTTTGTTTGATATTTGCTTACCAAATTGTGTATTTAGTATTTCCCATTTCTTCAGCAGTGCATATGTACTATTTAAGTGCTAGTTTATATATTAGCCTTATTATTTAGCTCTGATTTTCTTCCTCATGGACTGCTGTGTTTCAAGTTTTTTGGACTTTGGGACCAAAAGGTCAAAGGAAAAGTCGTCCCTGGTGCAGAAGTCAGCAAAGCTTCAGAGCAGAAAACTGCAACTTGCAGGGAAATTGAATCACCATAATCTATGACCACACACATGACAAGTGTGACAAAGTTTAAATTCAAGAACGATCTTGTGATGAAGTCAGGAACAATCTTTACTTCTGTAGGAAAATAAAGCATTTTTCCAACTGTGTTTCCATTGTCAAATCTCAACGTCTGTTAAAAAACCCCATGAAAATCTGCTGAGCGCTCACTTTCTCTGAGCCAATTCAATAGTCGACAAAGACTGTAAGTACACAAAGGTCTGATATTGATTTATTTCACAGATAGTTGATAACCTGGCAGTCCTTTTTCTGGAGCTGGAGTTTGGGACACAATGTGAAGCAACGCCTGCTTCTTTCCTCCAGACACGGCAATCCTTCCACTTCATGTTTCAGTTCACCATTATCAACCGGGGTAAAACAGTCAAATATTGCCTGTGTAATGTCTGCTCATATCTCACATGACCCACTTTTTTAAAAGAATGCAAATTATTTCAACCCTACCGTGCATGCATTAATTACCAAACAACATAAACCCTCAAGATTAAAAAAAAAAAATACTTCATGACATAACTCATAACTCATAATTACCCAGTATAACCTGTTGAAAATCCTTGTTAAAAGGTGCAGGGTGGAATGGATGCAATTTCTATAAGGGCAAATAAATTGTTTATTGCACCACTGGCTTCTCTGACTTATCACTGGGGTGTAGAGATATGTCTGAGAAAGTAATTTGGTAAAAGCGAACCTTTCATGTCACTCTTTCCCCTGCAATGTTTCATCTTTCAGTCTAATTTCATTATCTCCTCCTGCATATGCCATAAAGAGCATAGTCCTACCATTTTAATAGAGTGTATATACTGTGTGTATTTCTGCTGATATCTCTGATGCAAACATCACTACAAAGGAGTAGACCCTTCACAATCGTGGAATTTTAGCTGACAATTAACTGCCATATAAATAATTGTGAATTGTATTAAAGTACAGGCCTAAACTGGCCAAACTGGCTGATTAGCTAACTTGCATCCTAGCTGTTGATAGTTAGTAGCTCCAAACTGAGCTCCAAACACTAACCCCTCTAAAGGTGTTCTAGCACTAACTTAGACCTTTCTTGTTTCCCATGACATGTCTTAATTAATGTGTTTTCTGATTTTTAAAAAATAAAAATAAAAAAAAATTATTCTGTTTCTTGTGGCACAAACAAACATAACTGTGGTCAGCTTAAATAATTGTGTTCAGACGGTTATGTAGGGGTGAGTGGGGCATTAAATACATGTTACATGGATATTTTATGTACTAAATTAACAATTAAGCTCACCTATGGGGTTAACTGTAATGTTTGTACTACCACTTTCAACTGAATTGGTCACAAATAGTAGAAGCTGGAAACAAGGTTTTATTTTTATTTGTAGCAGAGATATGTGGATTGCTTGTATGTTAGTGTGTCAATCTGTGTCTGTTGCTTAGATGGAAATTACACAAAATTCATGAACGTTAACAGCACAAAGGAAGCAAAATGCGGAACCAGAACTAAGCATTCAGTAACATTAGCAGCGCCTAAAGAACATGAAAAGGAGTGAAAGAGAGGAACACAAAAATGGGAAATGGAATGGGAATGAAATTCTCACAGAGCGGGAAAAGCTGACTGTGCTTGTGACACAACTGCTGAGTGTTCAGAGTCATAATGTCACTTATTAATCTGCTTGTGGGAGAGAGAGAGAGAGAGAGACAGAGAGAGAGACAGGGAGAGACAGAGAGAGGAAGGAAGAGTACGATTTCTAAATCAGCTCGTGTTTCTTCTGGAAGGGTGCCAGGTCCCACAGAGTGATAGAGTGCCTTACTGTACCAAACACACATACAGAGAGTAAGAATTTTTCACAGATAGAGAGTAAGAATTTTTCACAGACAGAGAGTGCACAATAATGAAACCCACAAAAGACAGAACACAAACTGACAGACCTGCCAAAAGTGTATGTGTGGTCAAAGTGGAGCAGGCAGACGGAGCATGTCCCTGAGAACATGTTCACTAATCAGAGCAGAATGAAAACAGACAAAA